ATAAGACAGAATGGATCATACTTGCACTTCAAAACATTTGAGCGCTATCTTAAGCAGAAACAGTTCTTTCCTACGCAATTTTGCCTTTGTATGTACGATCTGTGCCAGGCTGAGCCGCGGCCGGCGCTCGGCCAAGTCGAGTTCCGTACTTTTGTTCGACTGGTCTGCGGTCCATAGCGCAAAACCGCTGCCGCTTTGCGAGGTCGTGATCCGGCGTGCTCGTCTAAAGTCGCGAGGCCCAGTGCTCGGCAACTGTTGCTTAGTAAGCAGTCTTTCGTTGGCTTAGTTTATGTACTAAGTTATGGACTTTCAAAACAAGGACGAAACAGAAGGAACTGAGAGCCGCAGAAACCTACGGCGCACGTATGTTTGTACTTGTAACTCGCAAAACTTTTTCAATACTAGATTGTGCACAGTTTATATCCGGCAGCGGTAGTATTAGGACTACAGTCCTCCACCCAGCTGCTTCCATTTTCGCGGAAGCGACTGAGAGACCCATAGCCGCGCTTTACTTTTTTCTCGATAAATTTTTATAATTTATTTGAGTTATAAAATATGTTTTAACAAGAGGCAGGATTGAACCATAACTCGATACCATATGAAAGGAACTGGCTCCAGTTGGCGACTGGAGGAAGCATTAGTTCCTAACTTGCCCGATCTGCAGAGCCCGACATCAATCGCTGACTGAGAGACAAGGAAGAGAAGAATACTAAGCTTACAAATAATGGTGTAGGAATGCCTTAAATAGTCTGGCAAAGCCTTGCACGACACAGAGTCGTACCGATCAAAGCCAAACCATACGTACTCGGTAACGAACACAAATCCCTTACACTCCACACGTTTATTAAAGCTGGAATGCATCTGGGGGAGCTGTCGTACCGCATCTGGGAAAGCTGTCGTAATGCATTTGGGCAAGCTGTGACAGCGGAGAGGGGACCCAAACAGTAGCTGCTACGGACGTCAAGAAATGCAGGCTAAGCATCGCCAAGCATCAAAACGGGCATCTCCAGAGGCAAGCTGCTTCTGCTCGCGTCCGATAATAAGCAGGAATTAGGTGCGCGCTCCAAGACTACTTGGATGAGCTGGGACCTGGTGCGGACAGCTTGCTGAAGCAATCAACTGACGGCACATTAATGTCATGCGGTGGCATGGCGCCGCATCGATCAATGTGCATGTGCGGGGTATGTAAAATCCCATTCGCTCACTGCTGTCACGGTTATGACGTACGTGAAGAGGCCTATCTTCTTGTCAGTCAGTCATCACACGCCTCATGCTCCCGGAATCCCGGCGAAGATTACATAGCCCAGCGCATGACTATACACGTGCCAGGACAAGCTGGCCCACAGTTTGCTTCTGTGCTCTCATCTGCTTCATGGATCACACGCCCGCCGTCAGCGCGTCCACGTGCTTGCTCTTTCCCCTTATTCCTGTTGTGTGAAACGCAATGAAGTGTCTTTACTGTACTTTTGTGGCTAGGGCCGGCAGCACATAGCCCACACGGAAATGCCATGCGACCAGGCAGGGCCCCCAACGAAATTCTTTTAGCTGGCATGCGGGTATGCAACTGTATCCATGCGGCGGCACGGCGGTACAGGGTGGCAGCGCAGTGTGTTGTACGACAGGGTGGCACCACCGACTAGTAGATGGTAATGGGCTCTACGCGCAGAATGATATAAGATGAATACGCGTGGCGCCTCCTAATACCTTAGGACGCATGGAATAATTTTGGATCCAAATCAAGATTTAGATCCACAGGTGAAGATTGCCGCCAATCGATGAATCCATCCGGCAAGTCAGGATAAATCGATATTAATCGAATCGATAAGTACCAAAGTTGCAAAACGTTTTGCACAAAGCCGACGTACCCCGTTTGCAACTACCAATCCACTTGTGCCAAAGGCCTTCGCTGAGCAGAGGCTTGTCAGCCTATGTCACATGCAAAAAGCGCAGGCAATAACTCGCAAGAAGCAGCCATGAACCAAAAGCAATAATTCAACAACAATTTCGTATCATACCATGGTACTGTACGTGGCCACGTACAGTATAAGAGATGGGCAGGGGTGGACGTCTATGCGTGTCTGTCAGGGGGCAGCAAGGTGCCTAAACACATTTGCATTTAAGAGAAATGTGCTAACACTTGTTTCGGCGCTTCTTAATTACCGCACCGACGAAGCATGGGGGATCGGTTCGGCATCGGTTGTCCGTTGCCGAATTGTCGTGTGCGGTTTCTGAAGGTTTCTCGCTGAACCCGAGATCTCAATCATAAGCGATGTAACCTTTTAAGTTTGGCGCCATTTGCTGGTGATTTGCTATTTAAGGCCAAAACATAGGTGTTACCGTGGCGTCGTGCCAGTGCCAACTGTGTGTCATTAGCCTTCAAATTGAGGCTTGGGCCGGTCCTTTGTAAGCAGTTTGGGCGCCTTCTACTTCGGCGTTGCATCCTTCTTCGTTCGCGCTACTGCTGGCTCCGGCCGATTCAGCTGGAGCGCAAGCCCCCCACGAATATGTCCGTATCTGCTTCGGTCGAGCACTTAGTGTAAAAATCATCACAGTACAGGTTTTATATTTAGTTCTACGTCATGGACGTACTCGCAGAGCTGTTAGGCATGAAACCCAACAACAACGTCCGGTCACAAACGAATTAAAACCAGGTTGGTCGGTCTTATGTACTTCAGAATCGAGCCGTATCCCTTAGTCCCAACCTACAAAAATCTACCATCTGTTCGAGCCCAGATTTGAATACTTAACCGGTTCCTCCTTTCGTGAACTGCCCGAGGATGCCCGCGACCGCTCTGGACTGCACGCAAGCCATGCGCTAGGTTGCGTGGTTATGTCATTGAGCGCGATACGCTGGCTCACTTAGATATTTGTAAAAGCTATTTTTAATGTAAGTATTTTCAAAAGACATTCAGGAGTTTGTTGTGGAAGCTGCCCATGTGCCGCTGCAGGTATGACACATATGGATCCGTACAATACTTCCTTAACCGTGAGCCGAACAAAAAATGTAGTCATGTTAATACAGAGGTAGAAGGACTGGTTCAAAGCATCAGTTTATCGTTACAAGCTGTTCGACTGCGCACGATTAAACCGGGGCGCGTTTCAGCGATTAGATGCGACTGTATGTCAAATCCCAGCTTAACGTAGGTTTCAGACATTTATTACACATCTCCTGAGAACACAGGTGTCGTACACAGGCAGATGCCTTTTGCCACGGCTTTGTAAGCGGCTGTGAGGCTTCAAGGTAGGTGGTTGAAGTGGGAAGGCAAATCCTCGTGACCTTGCTTATGTTTTTGTCTTTGCGCATTTGCAGGCTGCCATGCTGCGAGGAGCGGAGCGATATGCGTTTTGGCGATGCCTTCTCTTGTATCTCTCAACAAGTGCTTTGATTACATCAACTAAATCTCTTTCGACTTGCGTTTTTAGCTTCCTGGGTGCACCCAGTTCGGGTGATCTAGGGGAACCCGGTTCGGGCGACCGCCATTTGCAACTGCGCCCGGAATCTTCTTGTAGCTGCACGGAATTCCCACCTAGTTCCAAGAATGTCTCAATACATTACTCCGATGGAAATGAAAACCTCGTCCGCGTATGTGGCCCTTTCGGAGTTGCTGGCGGTCCGACTGGTAAGCTGCTCGCGCTGTGCGAATACGGTGCAATTTCTTTCCAGTCCTCTGTTCCACTCAATGATACATAATCACCTCGCAGCTGGGGTAGCATTGACAAGGGTGAATAGGTGAGGTGAGGCAAGTGGATTGATGGGATGGCTGGGTGCTGCTCGTCGAGTGCCTGGCCTGCGTACTTTTTTGGAACCCAAAACTGAGGAAAGATAGGGAACGACTGCGTGTATACATGTGTTTGGATGACTGTGAGGCCAGGGGGGTTAGCTACGAGGGGGCGAGGGATCTGGAGGTTTCACCTGTCCCAACCCATGTTCGTTATCTACTTTGTCGCATGCCATGCAAGTTTGCATGTTTGCCGTCGGGAGCGAGCAGCTGTGGGGCAAACCAAAGCCTTTGGCATTCGTCCAGGGAGGTGTTAAGGTGTTAGCTGACATGTGAACTCCAAGCCTTGAAAGGAACAAACCTCGGGGCACACCTAGTTTTAAAACCTGGAGAGTTGTTACATGTTGCCTTTCTAGGACCGATTCCGTTGATCAATAATCCGTATCAACGGCGAAAGCTTGAATGCTATCTGGGCATAAGTTTGAAGATCTTTCAGTTCCAGTCAACGGTGGCATTAGTAATGTCAGCACGGCGCGGATGCAACCGTTCATACGCCTGCCTTGCCTGCATTACTTTCTTAACAGCTAGCATGCCATTTTGTTCGTAAAATTTCCCGTCAAGCACGAGCAAATCGCGCTACATCGTGTGTCGCAGTGGGTAAGTTGACGAACCATGGCCTAATTAGCTCTCTCTGTCATTGTTGCCCTGAACGCGTCTTCCTGTTGTTGCTTCTTTCCTCCTTTTGTGTGGCTATTACTGCGCCTATTCCTTGTTGCTTATTCTTCAGGATATACAATTGCACGTTTTGCTGTTGCTTGTTTCGTCTTCCTCTGCTAGCTAGCTAGTAGCTACACGATGCAGCAAGGGATATGCTTCCATGCCGCTTGCCAGGCGGGCTTCCCTGCGTTAGACGGACTGTCTGATGTATTTATTATCTGTCCGTTCCCTTGGGGAGCGTGGCTCCTTTGCACTTGGCTTGACGTGATGGTTCCCTTGCAATTCGCTTCTTATTTTATTAGCCTAGATTTGGTAAAGTTTTCGATCACATGTGTAGGCGACGCCCGTATACTTAGTGAGGACCATCCGCATCTATCCTGAGAATAGCTATCTGTTCTCTCGCTTCACGGGCCCCGGGCCAACCTGCCTAGCATGGCTCCATGGATGGTCTCCTTCGCGCGAAACCCCACCCGCGTCAGCATGCATGCGTGGCCACTTGTTGTGTCATAACGACGCCGTTGTACGGTAAACCGTTACAACAGAGCTCATTATTATGGTTGGCGAATGCCCTGCGGTGCAACTGCCGTGTCGGACCTGGTATCAGTAGTGTTGCATTGGTATCGCGGCACGGTTCGCGATTGCTATGGTTATGAACTCTGTAACGGCCCTACCGTGCGCTGTTCAGCCTGGCGGTGAGGAAGTATGTAGTCAGTTTGCAGAAATGAGAAGTGTCTATAGACTATTTATGTTCAGACCTATCTATTATACATATCATGGCATGATCTATAGACCATTCTATCTATACCATGAATATATATACAATCAGTTTCTTAATCGTATCTATTATGCGATGGCCCTTTTTTCTGAACATTAAATTATTTAGAGGCAGATCTCTAGAAGATGTTCATGTGTGCTGCCCAGCCGACTGTATGTGTGAACCCCGCCTCTGCATTATTGCAGCAGCAGCCAGCCAAGCAAACCATGTCCCCGCCCGAACAACGATGCACGGACTATGCGTATGTACATACGACACGTAGATTTGGTCCTGACTGGAGTTTGCAGTTACTTCCTGGTTGCATTGGACGAGACACTAACTCTGGAGAAACGGGAACCGTACAATCTGACAATAATGGACGACAAACGCTGTGACAAAAAACTGTGCAACGACGAGATGATGTGCAACAGCGAAATATACGAATGTAAAAACACCTAGAAGGTCGCTCGCCCTAGAGCGTTAGCACCGTAATGACCTTGACAAAATGAATGCGTGCACTGCCCCTGCTTCATTCTTCCCGGCATGTAGATGCTGGAGGCAACGACACCATAAGCCTAACGTTCAGTGGCGGCGAGGGGCTGGTGGTGGATGGCTCTCTGTTACCCACACCCACAGCTGCCAACTTGAACCTGGCAGCAGCCAACGGCCGCACCTTCCCGTTGCTGCGCTTTTACAAGGTTAACGGCTTGGTGCTCCGAAACCTTATCTTTCGGGATTTGGACATCTCGGCACCCCTCATTCTTATCCAGGACTGCACGAACGTTACAATCCAAAATGTGACCCTATTGCGGGTGGCAGACGTGAGAGATGCATCATCGCCATCACCATCCCCCCCTTTCGCGGTATCACCGCCATCGAAACCACCAACTGCTCCGGTAGGTGTTGACATCCAAGGCCAGGGACACCAGGCAAGATATGCTGATGGAGGACAGTTTGGTGGTTTCCTTGTGGATTCGCAGTCGCTGCTATGAATGAGTTATCGTGCAGCTGCTTATCATGGATTCCAAATCACTGTGATTGGTTCTTCCGTGCTGTACGGCATTAAGATAGGCGTCTCAGCCTTTAGCTGGTGCAACCTAACTATTGGTAAGATGCAATAGGTAGAGCAAACCCTGTACTATGTCTCGGACAACACCAGGCAACCAGCAGAGACACTCGCTCCCCTGACCCTGAGCTTGCTGTTCTGTAAAACGTTTATTCCCCTCATGCAGGGCCACGCGGGTGCGGTATTTGTTTGGGTACTCTTTTATTAGCTAATATGCTATAGCTATTGTGCCCACTTTCGCGACTTTTCGACTTGCGTGCATAGAATATGTATAATCGTGAGCTATGAAGTATATCGGGGGTTTGAACACATGGTCGTTCGTTCCTTAGGGACCGTACGATACAAGCAGCGGAACTGTTCCATCTTGCATGGCAGCAGCTGTGGTGTATGCCTTTTCATGGGCTGGTACATGTCCTTGCACGGGTACTTTTCGAATAGAGGGGCAGTGGCGCCAACCTATTGGCTCCGCCAATCTCATTTCGTCCCCGTATTCATGCATGCGCGCCGCGCCTGCCTCTGCATGCAGCCTGGGGAACCATCAACGTCCCGACTGCAATCACAACTGGGGAGTAATTCAATGGCGAGAAGCTCTGCCGGCGGTAATGACGGTGGCGCGCTGCTGCCTAGCGATTTATCATCCATAGGCAGCCACGGCGGGGCAATTTGGCTACAGAGCGTTTCGGCAGCACGTTTGGAAAATCTTGACATCACATTTTATCGTCACAACTCGTCTTACAGTAGCTTGCACGGCCTGCTGATAGCAGCTAGCCGGAACATCTCAGCCTCTGGGATTCACGTCTACGGCTTCGATGCTTTTTTGGCTGCTGCTGTCCCAGAGACCGCAGACTCCAGGGCTGTGATGATTGAGGGAACCGCTGACGTATCGGTGCTCAGTATGAACTGCAGCTTGAGTAAGGCTGCCTGCGGCCCATGCTTGGCAGCGATCGACTCGTCCCTGATTATCGTGTCCAGCAACTTCTCAGGCAACGGTGCGGAAGGCTGCACAGGTGGTGCTGTGTGTCTCAAGTCGGAGCAGACTGGCATCGAGTCGAAGGCAACGCTTTTGGATACCGTTTTTAGTAACAACACAGCTGGACAAGGAGGAGGTAGGCGAAGAAGTAAAATCGGAGGGCGGGTATATAGAAGCGGCTGCATGCATGTTATGCCGCCGGGTGCGGTGCTAATTACACGCAATAAATTGCTATTTGGTGGTATACTCCCCTACACAGCTAATTGGATTGCACATATATATCGCGCACCTGTATCCGCCGACGTTGCTTGGGGCGCACTTTCTGCTGCCGCCGGCCTGCAGCTGCGTGCGTGGCGGCGCCCGCGGCAAGCTATGATGCTATGACGCACGTCAGGCAATGTATATATAGGCACGACAGGCAGTATATACATGCTTATTTATATTTGCATGTAACCCATAAACGTATATATTTTGTCATATAGTAATATTATATACATATTACCCGCATTCATATTATACAAACTCAACTCATTATATATATGTATATATGTGATGTGTATGTATGTATGCATAGGGTTGCTCGGCTTAACCGTAATGGTTCCATTGTTTCATACACCTATACTTTATCGTAAGCCTAACATGTAGCCATTACGCCGGCTATCGGAAAGCGCGTCAGTCCCTGTAAGACAAGGCGGGATTTGTGGCCACAAGCGAGATTTGAATCTTTTTAGGTCGGCGGGGCAAAACTGGTATAGAGAGCAGCAGCCTGGACGGCCCCGCTCTTTATAGTCGATTAGTTCCGGGCGCCACGCCCCGCCGGCTCGGTGGTGGCCATATGCCGCGGTCAAATGCACAGCCGGAGGGGTGCGTGGGGGAAGACGTGTGGGACCACAGGGTTTGCGAACATTCCAGCAGGTGACGGTTTTTCATTCGGGAGGCTGCTGCAAAGACGTATGAGCGGCACAGGTCGTTATCTGAGTGGCTCCAACTGCTAAATTGCCAGCTTCGCTCTACACCTGGGCTCACGGCCCCGGGATGGTAAAGTTACCATTTCCTTTTTACCTTATGTAGTGATCATGCTATAACACTGCTAGCTCTGCCAAGCACGTTCTGCATATGCATGCATGCCAGTAGCTCCGGGCTGTGGGTTATCGAGTGCCGTACGGTTTTTAGGTTCTTGAGTGTAGAGAGTTGCCCCGTGTGCATGTGTATGTACGCAGCAATCGCTCTGCTGGCGGGAAGTGATGGATACGGCCCCCTCGTGGAGATCAGACATAGCTTGTTTGACGGAAACCGTGCAACTTCGCAAGGCGGCGACGTCTACATTTCCGAGGGCAGCAGGCTTTTTGTCCATTCATCTGCATTCAAGTATAGCAGCACCCCTGCAGGAGATGGCGGATGCGTTTGCGGAATTGCAGCCCAAGCTTCGTTCTTTAACTCCAGCTTTACTGGATGCACCGCAAGGAAGGGCGGCGCGCTCTGGTTCGAAAGCGTAAGTGGGTGATGCGCAATAATCGTTATATATGCTCGGTTTACGCAGATACACACAGGAACACACACACACACACACACACAACTTGAGACACGAAACCGGAAAGAACCGTGGGCGCGCGCGCGCGTGTGTGTGTGTGTGCTGTTATCTAGTGGTCTCCAGAATCACGAAGGGTAGAGAGCCAGCGGGCCAGCTGGCCGTGCACTGCACTGGGCGTGTAGTAGCTGGACGCTGAAAAGATGCGGGCAGAGCGCCGTAGCGCGTAATTTCAGACGATATGCACGCCGTACTGTACGACAGCTACTACAGGGCGGAATCGAACATTTAAAGCAGGTTCGGCGACACCAGATGCCGCGGAGACGCCATCAAGGGACAACCGAGAAAACGGAAGCAAGAAGCGAGCGCGAACTGATAACTGGTCACACCGAATTTTCCTCAAAATGCGCCTGTGGGCCCTACGCCCGCTCCCTTAGCAAACCAATTCTCGAAGCGGGTGATTTTGAAGTGGTCGAATCCTTCGTGCACGGGCGGGAGCTATCGTCTGCTTGGCTTGGTGAACGTCCCGTCAGGTGGGGGCCTGATTGCAAATCCGAGGCTCGAGCCTCACTAGCCTGGACCGTGATATTGTTGTATACTGGGCATATCACGGGATCTGCATCCGCCGATCGATACTTTTCTGAAGCCGTGGCAAAACAGATATATAGGGGTAATATACCGCGATAGCGTCGGTTTGCTATTCCCGGCAGGTGATGAGCCCACCTTTCTTTGTTAAGCCCTGGGTGCCTGCCTACACCCTTAATGAAACACAGGTTGATGAAGCGCCTATCTCAAATATTGTGGTGGATGAATGTGTCTTTACTGGCAATAGAGCTGATAGCACTGGCGGCGGTATAGCAGCAGTTGCGGACCACTCGGATGGCGTAAGTACCCGTTTGCGATAAATGCATTTGATTTGGACAGAATATTCTGATGGATTATTCCTTGTCTTCCTGAGTATCCTTATTGTTAGTGCCTGTTACTTGTCGTCGTTGCGTCCTCATCACTTGCTTTTTACGTCGCATGCAATTCCTCTGGCTTCTGTAGGCAGCCACACATGCAGCTATATTCTTAGATCGGACAAGTGTTAACAAAAAGCTCTTGAATGGCCTGCAGGCGCTGAGGTTAAACCTCACCATTTCCAATTCAGACTTCACGGAGAACGTCGCTGTTGAACATGTAAGTAACGCCTTCGTGTTTTTCTTACCATTGATTGGAGCTGCAAAATGGAAAGTCGCAAACAAACACCTAACTGTATTGCGCTCCCTTTCCATCCTTGTGGTGCGACCAATTGGACTCGGGTGATCCATGATGCCGTACGTATGTCAAGGGCGGAGCTGTGTCGCTTGGTGCCAAGGTAAAGCCGAAATCACATGGCAGTTACAAATGCAAGCTTTTACTGGGAACATTGGCGTTCAATTTTAAACCTTAATTCGTAGGAAATGGATTTAAAAGTAGCATGGGTATGTTGTACTTGCGGACGTCGTTGTGCACCGTTTTACACCTTTACCCTCTGAGGTCTGTCTACACGCTTATTCCCCGCCTCCATTTACAGCAAAAGTGCTGGCTGCATTGTTTGCCTGCGTAAATGTTTGGTTGCTATCGGTGTCTGCAGCTATATCGTGTCTCTGTGGCCACGCAGGATGCAACAGGGGGCGCCCCCAGCGGGGTCGTAGCATCTGCACGTCTGCGCAACGTGGACTTCAGGGGAAACATGGTCGACACTGGCGACAGTGGCGCACTGTATGCTTCCGGATGGGATGTTAGCTTGGATGGCGGCGAATTTACACAAAATATGAAAGGCTGGTCATCGGATAACAGCCTAGGCGGCGCAATGTCCGTCCGCAACTGCCCCATGGCAATCCAAATCAGCAACGTAGGTGTCGTGATGCAGCGCTGTTGGGACTAAACCGCGGACGACGGCCCGTCCAGGGGAAAGCATATAAATTATAGTTATATATCGTAATTTTTGGTTTTCTGAGTTTTTCGAAGAAGAACATGGTTTTCTGCAGTACACGATGGGCGGGCGTTGTTTGGTTCTGGAGCGGGTGAACTCCTTTTGAGTCACAAAGCGTCTGTATTTGTTATCTTTCGGAGGACATGTAGCGCTACCGAACGTGCTGACTTTGGACTTTACGGCCTATTCGTGAGGCATTAAAGAATAAAATCATATAAATAATAAAAAGGATAGCACAAAATATATTACACGTACTATACTTTATCTTATATTTTAATTCATTTTGGATTTTTTGTATTTTATAAATTACTTTTCATGATTTATTTATATATATTGCATCCTAGCTACCGTTCATCTGACGCCGAGCGGGAGCATGCTTCGGCGTCAGGGTTTCTAAAATGATGATATCTGCATTGCGCGATGTCCGATTGCACATCCCGCCCGTGACGCATGTGCGGGCTGCGCAGGTCAAGTACCAGGAGAACACCGGCATCTACGGGGGGGCACTTGGAGCCGACTGGTGCAGCTTGACTCTACGGAATGTCGAGTTCACCCAAAACAGCGCAGACACTGACGGAGTAAGTGCACGCCGACGTACCTGGCTATGGCGGGATAGACACGCTGCCAAGCACATGTAGTGCTCACATGACATGAAGAATGCATGGGGCTTAACCACGTAAGTCTCGTCGGTTAGGTGGTCAGTCAACGGATTTGCCGTATTCAGTTCACACTAACCTGCTTCCCACCTGCCTAAATGCCATGCTGCTTCAAAGTCCTAACTGTCCCACAAATTTAGATCTCATGGGTTAGCGTGGCTCAGCGTTGTTAATTACTACCCACCCAACCCATGTATACACACACCAGCGCGGCGGTTGTCCTTAAGATGGTCCCATTTCATTTGTTGCTGTGCAACATTCAGGGTGGCCTCTACGTGGGATGCATCTCGTCTTGGGGGACTCAAGGTCGAGACAAGAGTGCATATACGCATATCCTGACCAACGTGACGTTCAAGGGCAACTCCGCTGGGATTGGCAGCGGGGGGGGCCTTCTGGTACGTATGTACAACAAGCAAGCAAACACCCAGATTGTTGTGCAGACCCATAGATCCAGCAGACGACACCGCTGTGTGGGCTCAGCCGAGTGCTTAATAATCTTGCGCCCATGCTCACCCGTATGCGAGTAGAGGAGGCTGCTGGACAGGTGCATACATAGATATTGCCGGCGCATCGATACAAGCGCGGAACCACAGCTGTGGCGTGCGGGTTAGATGAGCGTGAATGAGGCATGGAAAGGCAGCAACGATATAAGGCAGCTGGTTGTCGCTGACGCCCATGCAGCTGTGAGCCAGAGGCAAAACTTCAAGTGCCTTCTCACGGTCCGAACAAAAAACTACCGGCACGCCTGCTGTATGTTTTGTATGCACGCAGGTCGATTGTGGCAACATCACTATGACGGACTCGAGCCTGACTGAAAACTCAGCCTTCACTGTAAGTGCATGAATGCCTGAGCCAACACGTGAGATGTCTGCCTAGTTACCTGTCTAGTAGCTATCGGCACACACATGACCGTTACATGCGCACTACTATGTAAAGCGCACTCCAAACAGCAATCTCGAAAGGCCTTTTCGGCGACAAGCTCGCGATAATAAGAAACACAAGATGGCCAGCAGGCAAACCTCATGCCGGCGGGTTATTTAGTTAAGAGGGCGATCGCACAATGTTATAGGCATATATACTAAGCTCAGTAGGAAACTGCTGATACCATGCCACGTACCTAGCTGCTGAGGATGGTTAGGAAGCTAAAACAAGGTGACTTCAGACATTATCGCTGCATTTAAGAAGATATACATACATGTATCAGACATGTATATACATTCCACATGATGCGTTACTCGTTGGTTGTTTCAGTTATCTTCACGCTTCTGCGTGAAAACTCTGGTTATATTAGGAGCGAAAGGGTCTATCTCGTCTGTAAAAAATCTCAAGACATACGGACGCATGTGCTGCAATTATCTCACATCTGTCGTATATATAGGCAAGGTTTTACGTGCCACGGGCAAATGTCGATTTAGCTGTAGTGTCTGGCGGGCCAATGTGATGAACCCTCTGCGTGTTGACGGGGAAGCATTGATACATTCGGCCGTCGCCAGAAGCCGGGGCTTACTAGTGTCATAACTGAAATGGCTGGCTTGCAAGTACATCAAGCCTGCATGCAAATTTGCATTCAAGCGGCCTTGTGTCACGTATGTGTGTATGTGTGTGAACGTTGCAAACATCTGACCGGGCCTGACACTGGCCAGGGGCTGCTGCCCAGCCCCAACGGAAAGGCCGCCTAAGCTCTCTCCCGCGGACGGGAGAGGGCCGTGAGGGGCCTCTGTCCCCTCGTAAGAAGCCGAGAGCCGCAGGTCCGCTAGATCTGCTCTCCTCCCCCCCGGTGGGAGGAGTCGCACGCGCGCACGCTCTCACGAGTCAAGTCTCCATCACGCGAGTTCGCGCACTGAGCCTGAAACACGAAAAAGACTCCCCTCCATCCCCGGCCTGATCCGGCTCTTTTGATGAGGGTTCACAAAGACAGCGGAAAACCTGCGGGTCTGTACAGCTGTACAGACCCTACCCATCCCTACCACGGCACGCGGCCCTATTAGAAAGCTCGGTCTCTCACCCAATTCTCCATGGCGGGGGACCGGGCGGGGTTCAAGAAATTCGTACTAACTACCTTTCGAGCACACGCGACGGGAGGCGGGCACGGACTAGGCTATCAGCTATCAGCTCACCGACGGGCTAGGGATGCCTCAAGGCAGCACCACACCAACACAACCCACACAGCGTCACCCAGTCTCTCTACAGCCACCCCCTTCGCCCTTCCAAGCCCTACACCAGCGACCTCTCAAAATCCTCCCACTGCCCCTGCCTTGGCGCAACCTGTGGCGAGGTGGCGAGCCTTCCCCCTCGAAAAGCCCTATACCCAGACCCAGCAAAGAAAAAGCCTCAGGCCTATCCCCTGTGTGTGCGCATAACATCTGGTATTCCGTGCTCGGTGTATGCTGCTCGTGTTTCCGTGTAACCTTGTAGGCCGGCGGCATAAAAGTAGCTCCTCCAATGGTTGTGGTAAGTAAGCGATGTTTGTGTGTGTTTTATTTGGGTTGTACCGTAGGACATATCGTCAGAAATGGTGCCATAATGACAACGCTTGACTTTCTTGAGCTTTGAGGTGATGGTGGCCTGCCGATTGAGGGGACATGCATGCTCACCCGCGCAATTATTAGAGCATCGATAACCACCCATTCGGTTATACACATGCATGTGTTCAGTCGTCCACACCCAGCGAGGCCGCACGCCTTTCGTCTCCACTCCCACCCCTCTACTAGCTAGCGTCAAACGTGCGGTGGCCCCAGCCCATCTGCTCCGCTAGCTTTATGAATTGACGCTGAAAAGCCTGACTGAAGCTTCTAGTCATAGACAAATCTTCACATGCTCTGAAAGGCGCCCTGAAATGTGCTTCAGGTAAGCTGAAGGGCTTCAAGTCGATGGACTTGTTCCGACAGGTTTTTTTTGGTGCACCACTACTGAGCTAACATTGGCCATACGTATTCGCTCATGCTGGGATATATACAGCATGCGTGTCCCTGGCTCTCATCATATGCCTACGTGCTTTACATGACAACGCAACGGATGTGTTTGTATCGGGCCTTTGTAAATCTCCGTTCATGCACCTCTGGATGTATGGCTGCCGCGGGTATTCCGCTGGCTGGGTGAATCGGTGTTAACACTTGGTCGTGTGTCTGTTGTGGTGTGGAAATCCGCTGTCACGCCATATGACGTGCTAACAGACATAAGAAATGCGGATGGATCACTAATCCGCCGTGTGCAAGCTGTTAACTGGGCCGCGAGTTTGCTAGCCAGCTGCAGGTTCTCCTCCACGTCATGTATCGGCTTACGTTGAATGCATACGCACATACATATAAAACGGCAATCGGCTGGCGTCGAACGCTATGTTCGGCAGCAGGAAGCATTGTATAATCCTAAATGTCTGATGTCTGATATGCCTTCCCTCGCGTATGCATAGGTTGGTGGGAAAGCTTCACATGCCGTTTTACGCGGAGTACGTTTTACGAGAAACAATGCCAATTCCAAAAGTGGTGGGCTTCATGCTAGCGATGTGTACTTAACCTTGGAGAAGGTGGACTTTGTGGAGAATTACTTGACAATTGACGCGACGCATGGCGGCGCCATGTACGTCGCAAGATGCCTAGACGCCGTAGACATTCGAAGTGTAAGTGGTTTCGGCGGTGCCGAGTAGTGACGGGTGTATCGCACGCTTTGCTTTCCAATTCTTTTTGCGCAATTGTGAAGTCTGACAGGAAAGCGGGCTACGGTTGTCGCCATACCTGGGTCGGGCGGCTACTCATTCATGGTGGCCAACAGTATTACATACTGATTACGTAATCAAACGTCAACAACCCCAGTTGTTGATAATAGCACGCATGGGAATGGCATGGGAATGGCATGGGAATGGCATGCATGCACATTATTATTGCAAAGGTTAACCTTTTACCTCCCCGTAACCCCCTGAGGATCGCTATACATGTAACCTGTGTTGCGATGACGTGTGCAGGTGACCTTTAAAGGTAACACGGCACCTCAAGGCGGCGCCGCATACTTCGAGGCATGCGGGGCGATAATGCAAAACACCACATTCGAGGACAACAACGCCACGCTTCATGGGGTATGTGTAGCTCCAGTAGTAGTGTGCTTATGTCAGAGTTGATTGATGACGTCTTGCCGGCATGATGATGCATTTCTGCAAGTATTCTGTCAGTCACGTGGAAATTGTAAACCTCAATTCACAGCGCGGTCGAACCCGACGGCGCGGGAACACCCTTTAGAGGACCTCAACTTCCAGAATTTTTTTTACCTGCTCATATATATTAGCGCAGGTAAAATTTCTGGAAATTGAGGTCCTCCAAAAAGGGTGTTTCCCTACTACTCAACCAACTATTCAATGATTGCATCGGGTGGATTCGCAATCGGCAGGGTAAGCGTGCTTTCGATCGACTTGAATGCCAGAAATTATCAAAATGTACAAAGGGTACCTGCGAGCAATTGAAATAAGTGTAGATAGGCCGGGTGGAGGCTCCAGTTACCGCGAGGCAATCCACTAGACCTGGACACCTAACGCCTCACAGCAGCGACCTAATGTAGCTACGAAACCCGAAAGACACTCTAGAACACCGGAGCGACCTCCTTAACTGGCATTACATGCCGTACCAACCCGCATAACCAACTCTTCTGAGGAAACCTGGTTTTTCTAATGATATCGTTACGTATACTCTCAGAAAACCTTCAGTTCCATTGGTATACATTTCATCATGGACTTGCTTTACTTGGTCTATTTGCCTATCCACTTTGGTTCCGTACATATGCATGCAGGGTGCACTTGTGGTAAGCCAGCTTAGCCAGCAGGAGCTACTTACCATAAATATAGTGAATGCCACTTTTAAGGGCAACACTGCTGCTAACGGGAACGGCGGAGCCTTAAAGGTGAGGTACTGCGTCACTTCATACACACTGGTACTGGTACACATGTCAGGCACTACTGGTAGAGCACGTACTCATGCATCCGGAGGTTCCAGGATGGCGACCCGTCAGGTTCGAAAAATCGTTCCGATGTTGGAAGGTAAAAAGTGTCCCTAGTCGATGGATGGTGGTGATCTGAGTAAAGTTGACCTGCGAGCTGACCAGGAATGCAGATGAGCCGCCGTCGATCTGGCAGATTCCGTTGGATGCCGGTGGTGGGTGCTGAACCTGAGCAATCCACTGAGAAGTTGGCTACGGTGACTAGATGAGGGTGCCCCAAAGTACCGGGGAAGGCAGGGTCTGACGGATAGCGGCCGCAGGGTGAAGATATGACTCCCCTGTCCCACACAGCACACTGGTGCTGGTACGACTTCGATTTACTCATCAGCAGTGTACCAATACCAGTGCCGGGCTGCACGCCATGCCGCGTTCTCATGCACACTACCGTGATATATCTACTTCTACTTAGCTAAATAAATGGAACCTGCATTTGACATTCTGTATCGCTCATGTCCTCATTAAAACGCATGCATGACACCGGTCAGAGCTGTAGTAATGATAGGTGTTGGGGGCTTTCATTCTGCGGTTTTATACGGAAGAAACCTGTGTCGACAAGGCCTGCAGTGCATGCACCATCGTTGTTTTAACACTACCAATAAATAGTTCCCAGCTCGGAGGAGCCGTGTGCGTAATGATTGTACGGGGACTTCTATTGTCCAGCAGCTAGCTGATAGAGGATAGTGGGCCAGCCATCTTTCTTGCGCCGGTACTGTCTGTGCTTCTGCACTGCGTGCAGGCGTTTATGGCCATTGTCACAGCCACGGATGTCGCCTTCATCGGCAACGAGGCTCGGGGAGCAGTAAGTTCATTCTCAGCTCTGTGTGCTTACTCCAATAGGGACAATAAAATTAATGTCTGTGCCCGCACGCGTCCCTTAGGTTGATTGGAACCGACGTTCATTTACTTTCCATAACCGTACCGCGTGCGAGCATCACCGCTGACGCATCGCAAAACGTTGGCTGGCGGATCAATGCCGGGCGAGGCTCGACACACCCACCCGCCCGGACGCCGGCCTCGGAGGCCGCCTTCCGGTTGATGACCCAGCCAGCAGCAGGGCCCCTTACTTCCGTATATCTGTCAGCCAAATCTTGCATTTTAAGGATTTCCTGTCTGCACCAAATACACCCTCGCGCTGTAGGGCACGTCCCGCGACCCACATAGCTAACCAATGTTTGTAACCTTACTCGTGCCCTGTGCATGTCAACCTGCTGCGCGCGGGGTCCGTACCGTCGCCAGGGTGGCGCTGTGTACCTGGAGGTGGGTTGGTTGTGTGAGCGCGCTTTTATCTGTTGGAGCATTAATCCTAAGCCGGCCATGGGTGGCCCGTTACAACTCGCAGACCTCCGTCGGGACACAGATAGAAGGGAGCAAGCTTGCCTAGCCATGCATGTACCTGCTTGTAATGGAAACCCACGACCTGACAGAGGGACCAACTACTCAAAGCCTACAAATAAAGGAGTCGTTTTAGTCGGTGTCGATCTTGATTCGGACGTCGTAGGTTCGTTGAGCACGCACAACCGTAGTTGCCTATACTATAACAGGATTTTAGTAGCTGGCCGCTGAAAAGATGCATCTTTTGAAAAGTTGCATATGCTGGGAGATCTCCTTAGCGCGTGTTTATAGACGATGTGTGTGCTTAACAGTGCCATACTACAGCAACTACATAATACAGGGTGGAAAAGAGCTGGATTAGGGCATGGTGTACCGTATCTTATTTGCCCAGACATCGGAGTACGTAATTACGTCTTGCGGAAAAATGTACTTTTGAGTTCGAAAATGCGCACCTAGCTGGGCTCTTGCGGAAAAAATGTACTTTTGTATTCGAAAAGTACATTTTTTTCGGCAAGAGCCCAGCTAGGTGCGCATTTAATTACCATGGACAGTCGCTGAGGCTACCTACTGAAAGATAGCTGGCAGTAGTAGTTTTTTCGTATATGCGCATACATACGTTATGTAAACATACATAGATGGGCTTCACCCACCGTTGCAATCCACGGCAACTTTCTTGGTAAGGATCTCTACCTTGCTTGGAGATGCCACGAAAACCGGCTTACCTGTTGCTGCACGTACGTAAGAAATAATGACGGATGGCGCTATCTATCTATCTTTCTATTTATGCATAAATAGATATGTATCTATTCGCTGGCTTCCTGCGCCGGTATCTGCCCACCCGTCTGCCCGATACGTACTCTGGATGGCAGACATGATAACCACCCTGTACTGCTGTACATATGTTTTGCACATCAGGAAGCATTCTGGGCACCGGAAAGTCAGGAGACACCACAAGCTAAGGTAATAGTAGTGAGATGCGCGCGTATTGTATGTGGGTGTGTACGTTCACGCGATGTGTGAAACCATGCCAATCGTAAACGTGCTATAGACTGGTTGCTATAGACTGCTTGGTTGCCATCATGTTATGAAAACAACAGTAACGGCAGGCAGCAGGATGGACCTTACTTGCATTCGGGTTGCGGTTTGAACCTGGATTACATTCGACAATCGGCGTGTCGTTTACAGCGAAACCGTTTTTGTTGGCCCCTAGAAAGGAGGACATAGTAAACTTGCCCATAGCTAGCAAGTCGCCGCAGTTTGGTATGGTGTAAAACATTTTGTCGACACTTAACGGTATCCAATTCCTCACTGACAACCTATCGTGTGGCATTATTATCCAAGCGAGTCGCCGGACCTATGCGGGCAGGCGTGATGACCATTCCTCCTCTGTGCTTTTTACCACATGATGTAGCTCGTCCAAGCAGCTTTCAGTCATTGTCAATTCCTCAACAACACCGCTGCCGGCCTGGGAGGTGCCATCTACCACTCATCGTCCGCCCTGGGGCTTAGTAACTGCAGTTTTCTTGGCAATGCTGCGGACAGCAGCGGGACCGACAGCGGGGCAGTCCGAGGGCCAGTCAGCGGAGATAGATGGTCGTCAAACTCGGGGGGAGCCATCTATGCCCTGCGTTGCAAGGATCGCATGTTGCTTAGCGCTAGTGAACTGGGGCACAACCGCGCGAACGAAAGGGGCGGCGCAGTAGCGTTGCTGACGTGCGGCATGACTGCGGAAGGTTCCTCCTTTTACAACAACACGGCGAAGCTTGGGGGCGGAGCCGTTGCGGCGGGCCTTAAGACGGTCGACGATAACGCCACAGTAAGTGGGGCCTCGGACTTGGGCAGTCCACGAGACAAACAATGGTACGCACGGTCCAATCATCCACAACTTTGCACAGTCTTGCTTGGGCGATTTGGGGCGATTTGGCGCGACTTTGACAGGCCGTGACAGATAGTAGTCCGTCCGCTTTTTAGGATGCAGGTACGTAAACAGCTGCAGGCAGGAGGAGCTCCTCCGTTAGTGCATAACCAGCAGGAGGTTGTTGCTGCATGTACGTTGCCACTGCTGCCAGTACGTTGCTTACTGCTCAGTAAGCAGCAAGGCCATCAGCTGTAGTAGCTGGCCGCTGAAAAGGCCTCAAGATGCGGGCAGAGCGCCTTAGCGCGTATTTACAGACAATATGCGTGCCGTACTATATCTACAGCTACTGCGTAAGCCATCAACAGGGCCGTGCGTAAGCTAGCTCACCAACCCAACGCAGGGCGTTCCGCTCCTCCTGAAAAGCAGCAACTTGACAGGAAACACAGCCGTGATGGAAGCTGGTGGCTCGGTCTTCATAGAGAGTTTGCCACTGACAGTAGAGCACAGCCGGCTGGAGTACAACACGGCTAACCAGCAGGGAGGCGCTGTGTACATGGGGCCCTCTTCTTTGCTGATCGTTTCCGGAACCATCATGCGAGCCAATCAGGCCGGTGTGACTGGAGGTGCTGTACATGCCCAGGGCGCTCCAACTGGCCAGGTGTGTTCTTGCATGGTGCACGTCTTCACAATGTGGTGCGAACATGAAGCTCCGCTTCATGTAGGAATTTCCGTCACATTCGGCAATGCATGGTATGGACACCGACACGACCCGCTCATACGCTGGGGAAACCAGAACTCCCCTTAGATAGATGTTACCTTAGATGTATTGACAAATAGCACGCCCCTGGTCGTCTGCTGCCGTGATTGCACCCTGCCCATACAGCCGGTGGCTGTCCTTCAGGGCCTCCAGGCGTGGGAGAACCGGGCGCGGACTGCCGGTGGCGCATTGTGGCTGTCGGGCTGGAAGCTGCAGCTTAGCGCCTTGGAGGTTTCTGACAATGGGGTTAGTACAGCGACAGTTGCCGGTACTGGCAATGTCGGGGGAGCCATGTACGTGGCCAACTGCATTGGCGACGCGTCCATAAGCAATGTAAGTCCATTCACAACTTGAACAGACATACGGATGATGACGGAGAATTTACAAGTGCTAAAGGTGTATGCGTGTGCTCATGCATGCCGTGTAGCTTGCGTGCGTTCTCGTTGATCTCGGCTGATGACGCGTGTGCATGCGTTTCATGGATGGCCAATCAGAGAGAAAATTGTTTAGGACACGCAGCGATAGCGCAACGGAACAGATGCGCATTACAGATAAATTTTCCACTGGCAATTCAGTAGGTGTGCAGATAGGTTCGGCTCATCAGTCGGCGGTACATTACTCACGGGTGCGTGGTGTACGGCATGTGACGTGTGTCATATGTCGTTGCGATACCGTGTTGATGGAGGAAATAGTGTCGATTTGGGCCTTTGTGTCATTCGGTCAGACGTTCACCTGCATTGCATAGAATAATGGCCATGTGTTGTATCACGACTTTTTTCGGAAAAGAACCGGTCGGTGGATCTCAAGATCCCGTGATACCAGGATACTACAGCATGCATGCATGTGTGTCATTTGATCTTGTTTTTTATTGTTCTGTGGTCCAGGCTAGCTACTTCGGGAATGTTGCATTTCAAGGTGGGGCCCTGTACGTGGAGCTTTGCGGCATGCAGATCAAGAACTCAACATTCGGGAACAACAACGCCACAGGGGGAGATGCGGTGAGGTTGAGAGCTTCAGGCGTTCACGTATTTACGAGCAGTGGGATGATGTTAGCGCAGCGCATATAAGCTTCTTAAGAGCTTGCTCGACCGTAGGCTCCGCTGGCCATGTAGCAGGAGGTATAAGTGACTACATTACTACATACTAATAATGCACGCTCCCCAGCTAGTTGGTTATCTGCTCTCTCCAACACATGACACGATGTGCTGCCTAATGTACGCTTACTTTTATTATTAGGCACGAACGGGCCACCTCAGCTTGCCTTACGCAAAACCTGCCAGGCTGCTGGCGCAGGGAAGGCCGCCCCGCGCCTTATATATATTATTTATTGTTACTCAAATGGAACAGTAGGAGATAATCAGAAGGTAACCGGTGTTTCCATATAAGTGCCGACAAAAGTACAGCATGATACCGCAAGTTTATACAGCTGTGGCGGAAGGTGAGCATTACTGAAGTTATAATTCACGACCAGCTGGCCAGCTGGCCCGCTGGCTCTACTCTTCACGAGTCTGGAGCGCACTGTAACAACCACACACACACGGTGAAGCAACTTAGCCAATCAGGCAGGCATGCCTCAAGCTAGCGTGCGTCGAAGGTGATGTGTGAACTATAACCCGCCGCCTGCTTTGCACGTACGTAATACATCAACTTTATTGTACTGTTCAGGGCGCCATCGCAGCCGTTGGCACCGACGATACCGACACCTCATCAGCCAACAAGACCTTTTCTTGGGAGTTGACCACTTCTACATTTTACAGCAACCGAGCCGGAGGTCGTGCTGGAGCCCTTAAGGTGTATTGGTGATTACTGGCTAGTGTATGTTGTGTATGCGTATGGGACTAGGCGGGGTCATACGGCATGCATACATGGGAGGCTCGTGGCCGTGCCGGGAAATTGCGAGCAACAGCACATACATACTCACCGTATAAAACGAGGACATGCCAGCACGCGATATTTAAACAAGGGACCGTGTAGCGACCGGCCTCAAGGCGACGATTGAGCAATACATTTCATGTTCTGCAACTCCTGTACTTTACCTGTCATGCCTAGCTTGCTGTATTTTAAACGGTGCAGTGGCTGGGCTTTATTTCATTAACGGTCTTGCCTTGCCTTACAAAGGTTATATTACAACAAACCCGATAGAAAGACCTCATAGAAATGTTTGCAAGCGATAAGCGATGCATGCCAAATTTGAGAGGTACGGTCCCCTGGAGCGTTGGTAAAGACGGGCTACAGCTCGTATTGGGGGTAGAGGTGGGCTACAATTCAGTAACTTGCGTCTAGAGGTGCACTACTGTTCAATAACTCGCGTCTGTGCTTAGGTGCATCCTCTATTTGTGATCAGGTGTCTTCTTAATGTAAGGTCATACATGAAGATGCGCATGCCTGTTTGCAGAGCGGGCATGCAGACAGCGTTAATAATTGCTCGAGTACCCACCTGTCTAATCCTTAGGAGCTATTTTGTACCAGCCCATTACACAAGTTGATTTGCTCTTCACTTTCTCGCTTGATTGTGTTGTGCATATGCAGGCATACCACATCACCCTTTTCGTCAACGAGACGCACTTCCTGGACAATAGTGCAGAGCTGGAGGTAAATATACCTGCTTACTAGAGAAAAAATGCGCGCACAGCTTGTGGTATCAATGCCGTTAGAGCTCAGATCCCGTATTGTTTAATCTCATGTGTTATAGCACTTGGCACGGCGGCCTTCCCCGCGTGGAGCATCATCACAGGATATGTACGGAAAATGCATAGTGGTCAGCGATGTAAGTTAGGCCCTTAGGAGGGAAGGAAGTAGTTACAAAGAAATGCATGCGTCCCTTTTGGCACGATGGTTCATCCGCCTGTCGCCCGCCGGGGTAGCAAACCCTCTGCATTATGCGTGTGTTACACCTCGGTTGTGTTGAGAAGTGTTGGAATGAGCCCATACGAGCCAGAGGCCCAAGAGCGTAAGAGCCTAAAGAGCCACAAGTTAGGATGTGCCTGAGACGGATGCGTGCAGAATGAGGTAAAGGCCGGAGACGGAATATCTACGAACACACGGTACCCACCCCACCTCCTCTTGGGCACCGGCACACCTTCCCATGCGTATAACCGTCAACATCCCACAGGCGTTTGCCCTCACGCGCGGCAGCAGCAGATCGATAGGCTATGTATTTTATCTCTTTTAATGGAGATGCATGGCGGTCCTCTCTTCTTCATGCCCCCTTTCATCTCGCCCTCATATTGGTCACATTATCGCTATCTTGCATCTGTCGTCCGTCCGCGACAATACGACACCCTGTACATGTGATGCATGCATGCAGGGGGGAGCTGTACACCTGCAGGTGTGTACGTAATTAGCCACATAGCCAGAATGGCTCCAGCCACGTACATGCTTATTAATGTCCGGTCCAGTACGACTGTGGCTCCGGTCCATACGTCTTTATAGGAATCGTTCCCGCGACCTGCTGTGGCAAGCAAGGAAGCGCACGTAGCTAGGCATTCTTGGCGCATCCACATCGTTTGTATCATAGCTAGGGATGTGTTGTTTTTCGTACGGCTTCCTAGTAATCCTCCTAGTCAGTCAAGTCGGCGCGGCGTGTTACTAGAAGTACCCGGTTTGCCGTATTGCTTTTGATGTAATAATCTGGCGGAGTCCTTGCCACGCCCTGTATGTGCTTGCATCTTACTCTGACAACTGGTAAATTACCTACCTATCAGATCGTGCCGCCGCCGAGCAAGGAAGGTGGCGATGGGCAGCTGGTCCAGAAAGCGGTAAGGAATGATCAAGTGCAGGAGTTCTTTGTTTGTGCTAACTCCTTTTGCATAGTGGCCTATACGCTCCTTTAGGTTTCTGCCGCTTGAATAGGCAGGGTGTAGACAGACGGACACAAGGCTGCTGGTGCTGCATGATGCACCTCGCTGCTAGCCTAGCTAGTACATGCACATGTAAAAGAGTCGCGAAACCTCTTATTAAATAACATAAATGGTTCCCATCAGCTGGCACATGTCATAAGCTGTATTGCGGATCATATTGTGCTTTAGCCCCTGCACCTTGCGTGTCTATACATAAAAACATACGCACCCTAGCCACATTCTGGCAACGCATAGCATGCATGGCAATCACGTTGACCATCACTCCAGCCTGCATGTTTGGCAGCATTATGCACACACAAATGTAACTTGAATGCATTGGGGTGTGTATGTACTCCAGCAGCCATAGATCCCACACGCCCCCCCTTTCCCCGCAGAGCTTATTTGACAGCTGCAATTTCGGTCGCAATAACGCCAGCAACTCCGGTGGGGCGATGTACCACGAGACATCTGCCGTACACCTGAGCAATTGCAAGTTCTACGACAATAGCGCCGGAATTGGGAGCACGACCGCGTCGAATGCTGGCGTGGTGCGTACGCACGTGCGCGCAGCATGGGCGGGTCGCTAAACCTCATTCATGCTGCTAGCTACCAAGAGAATGTTTGTAGTAGGCTAAGAGCCCGTCGGCCAAGCGCCTGGTGGATTGCATGTACCGGTAACTGTTGAACTGAATGAACACATGACGTAGTTCGCTACATGTCTTGCAATTTCGTTTTGCAAGATAGGCCGCTGTACCGTCGACCGACGGCATTGCATTGGCCGCATAGTTTCACTCGCGCTTGTATTGGATCCAATAAAGCATGCATCCAGGATGAGCAGTGACCCGTACACATCAGCACACATCAGCACAATGAATCAGGCTGTATGCGCACATACGTGCAGGCCCAGGGCATTTCCACGGCTGGCGGGGGCATCTTCGCGGCCAGTTGCACCGGCATTATGGAAATACGAAATTGCGAGTTGCTCCGAAACCAGGCAGATGGGATGGGTGGCGGTATGTCGCTGCTTACCTGCGAGACGATGATGGAGAGCTCGACCTTGACCGGCAATGTGGGGAAACTGTCAGGCGGCGGCGTGGCCGCTGGGCATCAAGCCACGACCTCAAAGCCGCAGGTGCGCTACAGAAGTTGTTTTCCCCTTAGTTGGACGACCTTTCGATGCCGTACAAAGTAGCGTTAGTGATGAGAAGATGGGCAGAGACACGCAGCGCACGCGGATTTCCAACAGCGACTGCGGGGCCCGGCCCCTGAATATCATGGCGGCATGCTTTGCGCGTTGTAGTAGCTGTGCATGCACCGAAAAGACCTCCCCATATGCTAAACGTGCGCTTTGTCTACCAGCGCGTGTATGTGTTTGCGGTGTGTGTCGCATTGTGCGATAATCACGACGTGCGTGTATCTGTTGTCTACGTATCTCGTTATCATAAAGTTGTGCAGCTCGATTTCGGGGTATGTGAATCGCTTGCTTGCAGGGGCCGCTGTTTTCCATGCAGCATTGCAACCTCACGGGCAACAAAGGCGTGAAGCAAGACGGCGGCGCCGTGCACACAGCTGGTGTGCCATTTCTCTTACACGATTCCCGTTTCCTCAACAACTCAGCGCATCGACAGGGAGGCGCGCTATTCAGCTTTGCAGCACCCCTGGTTCTTCTAACCGAAAGCACATTTGCCGGTAACATCGTTGACCTATCGGGCGGGGCAGCCCTGTTTGCGAGCCCAAAGGTTCTGCAGGTAGGTTCATCAGCTAACGCGTATAATATTTATTTATTATTTGCCCTTTCCTTGCGCGTAGGCCTATATGTCTAGCATAAATGCCTGCTCTATTCCGGCCGCGGCGATCCGCATATACACGAGGACGGCTGGTCCATATCCTAGTGCACCGAGTGCAAATGCAACCGATGCGCCTCGCTTTGCGCTTCGCGCGTATTCATTATTTTCGGGTATATATGCGGCATTTTTCTGCAACCACTTGATCGATTCACATGTTGGCTATGATTTGCCATTCGACGGATGTATCTGCGTCTTCGTCTGTAAAATGCCGTGGTGTTTATAAACCATTTATTTTACCGCCATTTTTTTTCAGGTCAAGAGCACAGCTATGGTTGAGAATACGGCTGGGCTCTCCGGGGGCGGGCTGGCGCTCGTGAATGCGTATTGCTCCCATTTTGAAGGCTTGAGCTTTGCTGCCAATGCGGCGGCACAGGGAGGAGGGATTCACGTCGTCATGACCGAGTTCACTAGGAGCCCGGCTGGCGACGGCCTGGACTGTCTGGGAGATTTCACGGCGCTGCTGGGAGGTAACTGGACTGAACACCTTTCCAACGCATCGCGAACCGTCATCGAGACGAAGGTAAGTAATGTAATCGGAAGGAACGGCAGCTATGAAGGTGATACCGAGAGCGATATATTGTGCATTTACACGACATGCATATATGACTGGCAATCGACCTAGCAGCAGCAGATTATTATATCGTATTTCACAAGGTGGGTAAGGTAGGCACGCAGACATTCAAGCCACAGAAGTAGGATCCAACAATTTAGCCTAAAGCCCGCCATGAACCTATGCGTGCGTCTAGATAGTGTGCAAACCGGTACGTACTGCGCGGGTTACCTTATCGCATACCTCAGGGCCCTGCTGGATTCGATGTAAATGCTTTCTACTGATGTGCGGAAAGATACTTTTGCTTGTGTGGTCGTTACACGGACCGAACTCCGTGCATGGACAGAACGAATCGCTTGGTTTAATCCTGCCGCTATTGTTTGACTCCTTCGTTTGTGCTCGGTGGCCGCTACTTCTCACCTTAGAAGGATGATTTGGTGTTGGTAGCGACGAATATCTCAGCTATTGGCAACCTTGCACGGTTAGACCAAGGCGGCGTGGTGCTCTTCGAGGCGATTCGTGGGTCCGTCCTCTTAGACAGCTTCACCGCACGTGCAAATCGTGCGGGCAACGCCGGCGGAGCGATTGCGGTCTCAAACAGTCTAATTGATGGCACCACAGTCTACCTGTCCTCCAGCGATCTCCAAAGCAACGCAGCGGTGGAGCGTGGTGGAGCCCTCGCACTTGATGGCGCCTCTACCCATCAACAGGTACATTGCCGTCTTGTCCAGCAATAAATCCTGCATGCATGTTCCGCATGTTGCTTTGTGGACTTACCCCCTGTGCTGATTACACCTTTCTGTAATTGTAGTAGTAGGTATTACAGCGAGTGTTAAGCACAGCAAAGCGCCACGGACCCCCGCACGGGTCCTATTTCTGCTGCCACCATACACTGGTTTATGAGTGTCGATCACTTTCAAACAGCGAGCCCCAGACCACAAAGGAATACCCCGGCAGGGTGGTAGGGGGCCATCGGGCCACAAGGGACCGCCGTGCTCTGCACTGCATTGCAATACTGGGAAACAGAATAGACGGAAAACGCATGCCTTGAACAGCAATACAGCCCACCCCGAGTCTTGAGAGACTCCGTATGGGATGTCCTCACCGCCACGCACTGAAGAGGAAAGCAGCCTGAAGGGCCCCCAAGAAGCAGCAGATGAGTCCGGCACATGCTGTTTATGTGCCGTGCGTCCTTCCCAAGGACTTTCTTCACGGCTAGATAGCTATCTAGCTTGTAATAATGAGCCTTCCAGCAGAATTGAGCCGCGCCAAGGGCTTCTGTCGCAGGCATTAATGCATTAACACAGAAACAACCATGCTTCGGTCCGGGTTCCTGTACGGTTGTATGTATTCACGATGTGCGCTGTGCATACCAAGCAATAATATGTGTCGTGCTTGCTGCAGGTGCTGCTCGTCACTGCCTGACTTTGCCTGATGAGCTTTCCTAGGGATACGTTTGCCAGACCTTTGAAGCTTCAAGCTAACAAGTCGTCAGTGGCTCTGTATCCAGTCCACGCATAAACGTTGAAACCATCTATGTGTGCATGAGAACGTGCACGTGGTGTATGTATGCCTAAGCCCAACGAATGGAATGATGCCGGTACAGGTTGTTGCAATAAACACCACACTGAACTCCAACACCGCGGGCCTGGGAGGAGCTGTGAGCTTGCAGCAGCTGGCGTCAGTCGCGTTGCACGGCTGTATCTTGGAGGGCAACGTCGCGGACGGTGGCGGGGCCACTGGGGAGGGTAGCGGCGGGTCTGTGCACGCGTATGCATGCAAGTTGCTGCTGGTAAGCGGCTGGCCTGGAACTGCAAGTTGCGCAATGCAATTTAGCACATTGCACACTCCGCGTAGTATTACGAAAAGGACTTGCGGAAACTGCCACTTGCAGCGCTCCAAAATATCTTGGCAGCGGGAACTTTTCCTCTTTCGTACAGCAGCACGCTTTGGGGTTCGTTGCAACTCTCCAGATAGCTTTTCATACCCTCCTCCTGTCTCTCTATCCTTTGCTCTAACCCCCTGCATGCGCCATTGGCATCCAATGACTGAGGACGTTATAAAATTTATCAAAAATTATGTCTAAATATGAATGCCTGTGAGATGTAGATTGCGTGGTGCTTGCGTGCGAAAGATGAAGTATCTAGGTTGTTGTAACTTAGCAAAGCTGTACCTGCTGCGTGTGGCTTGGCTGCCAAGAGGCAGATAGAGGCCAGGCACGCAGCGGAGTCGGATGGATAGGAAGATTCCCAGAGTATGAGCATACCGTTGTGATCATAACCTGCACTCTTACACAGGCGAGCGAGACAAGGATTGAGGCTTCGGTCGCCAGCGAAGGTTACGGCGGTGGTATCTACACGGAGGGCTGTGATTTGGTCATGCTTTCAAAAGTTCGTCTGACAGGTAACAACGCGTCAGCAATTGGCGGCGCAGCGTTTCTTTCCGGTTCCAGCAACGTGAACGCCGCCGCATCCTTGGCGTTCGTCTCGGGAGGCCGAATGGACGGCAACACTGCCGGCGGGGTTGACGGCGGCGGTGGCACCAGCAGGAACAAAGCCGCTTTCCTTCGAACGGGTTCTGCAGGTTTGTAACATGCATTGATGTATGTACTGTATAACTGTTATCTGTTTAAGGTATTTTACGCACTAAAATACGTGTCTGTAGCAAAGGATATTTATACCTAGGTGGCGCTAGCAGGCAGGTAGCTGGGGGTTAAGCTCGCCCCGGCACCGGGTTAAGCTCGCCCCGACATCGTATATGACATACGGACACAACAAATAGCATTGACGAATAACAGTTTGGATTGGGATACATGCATGAAGCTGGTTTGGTGCTTTCGCGCACGGGTTAGGTCCGTAACACAGTGCGTTAAGATTTATGGATGTAGATTTGGACCGGCCGGGCATTGGTTGTTGATAGCTCTCACTTCCGCCGTTCTTCGGTCATTGACACGCCCGCCAACTTCTCCAAACCAACTTACGTTCTCAGGTGCTCTGTATCTGGGAGGCAGCATGACGTTCCTGGTAGACCAAACTCTTTTCGACGGCAATATAGCCGACGCTCAAGGAGGTGCAGTGGGCATCGATCTCGACTGCCCGCAGGTGGTTAACGCAACTTCACTGGTTCCCGCTTCCCGCTTCCTGTTTTTTTAATATTATTATTGTTATCCATGTCACGGGGTTAAAATAATAGCGTATTTCATGGAGGGAATGCCACGTAATGCTTGCTCGGATGTGTAGCACGCCTGGTGCAATTTCGGGGAAGACGGGGTGCACTGTGTTGAGACTAGTAACATGGACCATTACCATACGCCTCGTACTGCGTAGAATGGGGCCATATTTTTACTCATGGCCCTTAGCATAGCATTCACTACCTTCCTCGATGTTTCGAAGTAACGAGTAACCTCACCATGGTCGCTCACCTCGACACCTGCGACGGCGGTGACTTTTTCGGATTCAACACCCACCATCAGGATCTGCCAGCTCAAGGGTCCATTCCTGATCGGCTCGCAGGTCACTAGAATCGGATCTGTTCCTGTTTAACGGCTTGGGGTTGCATCCGACCTATTACGGTTTACCGGGATTCGATCTTCCTGCATCTTGGCATGCTTGCTGTGCCCGGAATAACTAATGTGCATAGTTCATGGAGCTGTTGTTGCGTTCATTTTTTACCTGCTCGCGCCCGTGGCTGCTTGATCCTCAGGCGCCCGACGCGTATTCGGCGACCGGCAACTGGTCATCTTCTGTCAACGCGTCCTCCTGGCTGCCACAGCAACGGTTATCACAGCTGAGTTATGGCTTCTTGGAGCTACCAGCTGCCGCTAATTTGACACTTCAGGTATATGAAACGTCTTCATGTGAAATCTCTGTTACTTGGTCATCGTGATAGAACAGGGCTGGGTGTTGCCTGTACGTTGCTTCTTGAGGTGCGTGTTTTTTGTAGCCACTTCAGTACACTATTATTGAAATATTATTAAATATTTAAGAATTATCTAAATATTGTAATAACATTTCCCATGTGGGGTACTCATCATGGTGCATCCTTCCTGACAGCGAGCATGTCCGGTCTGCGCTACCTTCTCGCAGGCCATGCAACAAGCTGCTCGCCGGAGCAATTCGTTCAGCTGCTGGACTGCAATTCTCAAGGAGCCACGACTTTGGGGCAATACAGCTGGGGTACGTCGGTTCATGGCTGGCATGTGCGCTCCGGTATAGCTCCGGTATATATTATATACTGCATGTTGGTCCAGTTGGTCCAGGTTTTCAAGTAATTTAGTAATTGCTGCTTTCACTTCTTTGTGTTGTGAACAGGACTACTAATGTATTTTCTGTTAGGCCATCAAGGGGATGACGTCGTTAGCTACGTAGTGGTCATCATGCATGGCGCGTATTATCTTTACGATAATCTCCAACTCCCGGGGCTACTTTCATAATTATTATGTATTTGCGCTGGATTGCATGCACAGGGTAGCGGTGGTGCTGTGTTCTCCAGCTCTCCATACACACTGGCCATGATTTGTGGCAGCAACTGGACTGTTTCGCCGACGCCAGGAGCATCCACAGACCAACAGCTGGCAGGTCTGGTCACCACAACCACATCAAGAGTGGCCTCGTCTTCCAGCAGCCTCGATGTCGTTAACGTCGACACAGGCCAGGTCGAACTGCTGCAGGACAGCGACAACTGGGACATCAGTACGACAGCGCCGTACATGGGTTTACTGCCGAAGGCCGACACCGGCACGGATTCCTGCTTCTGGAGGCCGCAAATCTCGGTGACGGCTGCGGGGGACAGCGAGGAGGGGACCTTACCAAACCGCGCACGCTTGGGCTACGGTGATGCTGTCGCCACAGCGCCGAAGGTCGTCGTGCTTGTCGCCATAGGAGAGGGTGAACCGGCGATGACCTACGTTAGAAACAGGCTAGGCGTGCTAGGAGATGCGCTAAAAAATGCTTCGGCGTCTAGTGAGAACGGGACTTCACTCATGGCGGTTGGCAGCGGCAGCAGCGGCGCCGGCAGCGACACCAGCAGGCCATCTAGCCAAGGGCCTTGGTGGCCACTGTGGATGAGTCGTGCTGTGCTGGAGCTCCGTAGTCGAAGGGCATCGCAGTGTTGGCCGGGGCAGGAGTGCCGGTTGATCATGCCTACTAACGTCGCTATGGGCCTGAACATTTCGATCTTCGATGCGATTAAACAAGTCGTTAACGGTAAGGACGGGCGCGCGCGTAGAACAAATACTGTACATACTAGCCTAAAAGCTCCCCTCGCTACCAGCCAACCTACGCCTGTAATATTTCTGATCGTCTTTAGATCGTTTAGCCCTGTTTTATTAGATAAAATCCGTACATTCTAATATACCAGGGCGCGATTTGTAGACGATTTTCAACATTTATATTGAAGACGTAGCTGTTTTTCATTGAGGCTACTTTTAACTGCCGCTCTGCGAGTGACTATATGATTTATGTTATTGCCCTGTAACGCCACGTGCATGTCCGTATTCAGATACGGGAGATTTGAAACCCGTGGTTCGTGCGACCATTGCATCTTCCGATCCCAGCCGCCGCGCGGACCTACTCGGTAATCCACTGGCACAGGTACGCTTGCCGTTGAGCTAGATTAGCTACCCTTGCCACGGCGGCTCGCTCGTCTTGCTTGTAATGCATGGCGCGCTCACTAGGCAAGGCCACCCCAGGGCTGAATCCAAGCCGCGTGTAGCACTACTAACTGTTGGGGAAAATGTGATCTATACTGACATGACACTATTGCATGTGGGCAGTGATTTTTTTTTCGTTTAGGATGGGTCTCAATTTATTCCAACCTAAGTAACGAAGTTGCTAGGGTTGTCGTAATTTATTCCTTAATTGTGAGGCGCTGGGGGGGGGCTCCCCTCCAGACCCCCCGATAAATTACAACCCCCCTTGTAAACCAAGAGTCACGCACTGAGTACAAGCGCCTTTATCAGGAAAATTTAAGGCTTATCTTGCTGTTTTGGTGTCTGTTCGACGTTCGAGTCATTGCCTTGTGCGTGTTTGGCTATGTGAGGACCGGTCATACATGCTGCTATGCCGTGTTGACTCACGGGCTTGACCTTCTTACGGCCCCTCATACTTATTCTGTGATTGCAAATACTAAGTTCTGCACACTACGAAGCAATCTGGCAGCAGTGGACGTTTTTGGCTGGAGGAATCAAAATGTACGGGTCGGCCTCAATTTGTTCCTTTTTCCCAAAGGCCAAAATGCCGATTTATTCCTTTTAAGTAAAAAGCTGCATGTGGGACTCTTCCGTCCAAAACAGTAGCTAATTTCTTACCCCGATCGTGCACTTTCTCGGTTGAGCACTTTGTGCGTGTTGTCGCGTGTGTGTATCGATATGAGCTGCGTCATTGTGCTGGTGGAGGACATGTGGCCAGGGGGTTGCGCTGTCGGCATGTTGAACATGTGCGGAACGGCGATCCATTTATTTCCCGCTTTATTTACCTGACCTTCGCTTTTTGGGGACCTGCGGTGATGCGTTCGAGAGACGGGTACAGATAGGTGCATGACTGCTCAATGTTCATGCGGATCCTGCTGGCTGGTGGGCGTTGTCTAAATACATCTTTCGCCCATACATTCCGGGCTTCACAATTTTACTGACAGTTCACAATTGTGCAATAACGACAACTGGAACCAGGTGGACAGCGGTTCAGCGTCACTGGAGGCTGTTCGTGTACACGCGCGCAAGGGGAACTACACGTTGACGCTTGCGGTGGACGTGAACATCGACTTCCAGGTGACTGATTACATCGAGCGCGGATCATCTAGCTCCCAGCAGCCATTATGCAGCCATGTATAGATCCAATTGATGGGAAGGTGGTGAGCTGTGCTGATCAGGGTCGGCTCTTCTACCCCGCACAATGCGTCAAACTTTGTTCGTTCGAACGAACAGAATTCTGCACGTGGACGCATGCATGCATATGCTGCCCAATCATGTCGCTTCCATATATTATGGAAGCCGGCCCAGGCCCTCTGTAGTAGCTGGTCGCTGGAAAAGCCTTTCATTAAGATGCTGACAGAGCGCCTCAGCGAGTATTTATAGACGATGGGTGTACCGTACCGTACTACAACTACAAAACCCTCTTATCTGTAAACGTCAGCACCACACCGGCCCCAAATCGCTTGTTTGCCTGCTCCACTTTTCGTCGTTCCAACCACGCACGGACAGCAAGGTTTCGTCACATATATACACTCATGCAGTATAACCGTACTGCCCTATTGCTTTGAGCCGTACATGCAGCCTCGCTCCCTCTCCTTTTTCATGCCCTTGCCATCATCTGCTGATTAGAGATTCGTCTATAGCCTGTTTTGCTGGGTCATCGGGTCATCTATTAGGCAAGCCGTCGATGTACAGACGAACACATACAAACACCACCCACCTGCTGCCTATTGCTGCGAACGCCCTCTGTCCAGGTGACTCCGCTCATAATCAACGTGACTGTTCCACCCTGTTCCTTTGGGGAGCTGCCACTCGACAATGGATACGTATGCTCTAAGTAAGTTCCATGATTAGTGTGGATGGTGCTGCTACTCGCACATGCGAGCATGCATCCGTAGCTAGGTAGCTTTTGCGGTATTATGGAACACCCATTATCATTGCCGGCCCAGCTCCGATATATACATTACACATGTAATGGGCGACTAATCGTCGCGGTTGCATGGCATGCACTGCAGAGATATTCAGGTTACACCGAGGCCGACAACAAAAGTAACGCCCACTCATGCATGCATGCTAGTTGGATATCCGTTCTCGTTTTCGCTACACCACCTGACCTGCTTTTTACCGCGGGCTCCGTTCACCGATGACCTTGCTTGTTCGCGCAGGTGCCCTGTCGATACCTTCACCTTAAGGGTCGACAATGATGATAGTTACAACGGTCGGAGCAAGCCTGCAGACGAAAATTGTGCGGCATGTCCATACCATGCGAAATGTACGGGCGGCGCAGTACTGGTTCCGGAGCAGGGCTACTGGCACAGCGCGGCCAACTCCACAATTATCCATCAGTGCCCAAACATGGACGCCTGCAGGTGGGAGCGCATTCCATAACTGCACGCACACGCACACACGCGCACACACGCACACGCACACGCGCACACGCGCACACGCGCACATGCACACACGCGCACGCACGCACACGCGCACACGCACACGCACGCACACGTGCACACGTGCTACGCTGTTGTGTGTAGCGATGCATGGGTAGATGCACGCAATCCCGCTGCCAGCTTTGTTGTCCCTTCAGCCTCAACTATTTCGTATGAAGCACGTGCCTCTTGCGCATGCAGGAATGACGACGACGACGCCAACAATGAGCTCTTGCGTTGCCAAGAGCGTTGGTATGCCTATTTTGGCGAGGCAAGCAGGTTCTCTTCATTGCTGCGCGATCCGACAGGGGGGACCTCCCTGGTGGGCATTTACCTGGACCTTTACCGGTAAGTAGGTATGTATGTACACATGTGCGTGTTACACCTCCTGGAGTTGCGTTACCACCTTCCGAAGGTGTAACCCCGGGGGGGGGCCATAGGAGCCCTGATGAGGGGCCCGAGGGCCAGTAGCCTAGGGCTGTTCGAAGTAGATGACATAACAAACGCTTAAGGGTCTGTTATCCTAGCACGCAGCACAAGAAAAGGGTAGGTCGAACTAATAAAACTACAAAGACAGGTATATACCGCATATGTGCTGCACCAGTGCGCCTGTTATTTCTAACCCTCACATATGTGTGCTTTGGTATTCACGCAAGGCAGTGCAAATATGTGTGCATGGCTCGCTTCTGCGGCCAGCTGCACGGCAATTGCGCCTTTTACGTAGTGTTTGTTATGAATGAGCTGATAATTATCCTTTTTACATGTATGCCTAAGTTCGGGCGCGTGCATGTGCTCCGGTACGGATATGCGTCTATGTGTACGGATGTGCTTTTTGTAACACCAGGCAACACCTCCTAGCAATTCGCACCAATGTAATACCAGGCAAAGAGTACTCAGGGAGATGCCACGGGAGCTGAACCCTTCCTTCTTACACCTTTGGTGTACGCAGGAAAGTGGCGGCCGTGCCGAACAATACATATAATGGGTCACTCTACACACCGCTTTCACCTGAGGGCATTTTCGATGGCTTCCTGCTCGACTGTGCACTGTGGGGCGTGCGTAGCGACGATCTCCTGAGCTATATGCAGAAGCAATGCTCCGAGGTACGAAGGAATGACTGCATGCACTGGCTGCCACGTGTGAGCTGCCATGCATGCTGCCGTACCGTTTGGCTGCCGTAGACTATTTTTAGCAAGATCGTACACGAAGCAGGTGGAACACTGCTTGCATGACGTCCACACATAATGAGTTGTCCCACTTTATGGCGGGTATGTCTACCACACCCGCCTGAGCTGAACATTAGCTGATGCAGCACCTGTTTTTGCTAATATTGCCTGTACACCCACACCCACCCCCACACACACGCAAGTATCTATCTATTCATACGTGCATGATCTTAACACCGTTGGCAAGCACTTCCAGTATATCCAGTGTTTGTTGCAGGGATATTCTGGCAGGCTTTGCGCAACGTGTGTTAGCTCGGCAACGGGTGGCAGGCACTACGCCCTTCTCTCAGACTTGACGTGCAGCCCGTGTTTCAGCAAGGTGGCGAGCGCATTTATTGGTCTTGCCTTCTTCGTCGGCAACACGGCTTGGCTAGGTAGGTGGAAAATGACGCCGAGGGAACTTAGAGTGGGCTTGGACCGTATTAGTGCAAAGCGTGTGAACCACATCATCCGGTTGCCTGTTAACCGAGGATGAATTCCGTGTACGGCACTATGTAGTACACACTGTTCAGTTACAGCCCATGTAGCTTTAGCGCGTCTGCCTGGACCAGACCAATCTAGCTCTTACAAGTTAAGGCATGAATGGATCTTCTTGTGCATCCCTCTTTAAGTCTGTCACACCCATGTGTGCAGGATTCTCCGTCCTCATGACCTTCATGACGGATTACACACTTCCTAACGAGGAGGGTCTGCCGGCAGCAGATTTGCTCAAAGTACGTGTGATTATTGAGAACATGAGAACGAGTCCCGCCATTGATTTTCTCCATCCCAAGATTAGCCCGTCGTTTTAGTCGTTCGTCCACGCTATTTTGTGGCAAGCAAACGTTAATGGATTAACACTATCCGCTGCATGCATGCGGTATTATGTATGATGTTGTTACAGGGTGGTTGTTACAGCTTCACCCGCGGCCCCCTTTCCCGAGGCAGTTCCCTGCTCTCCCCTGCGAGAGGGGCACCCTAATCCATTCAACCCATCTGACTTCAGGATGTATTCGTTGGGTTCAGCAACTCACCACCAGCATCCAACCAAACCACCTAGCGGATTAACGGCGCCACAACTTAGTTCCTGGTCAGCTCGCAAATTGCTATAATCACGTCCTACACCGTCCACAAGATGGGGGGCCACCTCCCAATTCAACACCCCTCACACACCGAGGGGTCGGCAGGCGGATTACGACATGCATTATGTATATATGCGCGGTGCTTGGCTTGCTTGGCGATGCATGGCTGTGCATGCAGTCCACATCATGTTGCGGTTTGTTAGTTTGGACGAATCCAAAACGTTTTGGGGGGTACGTGTATGGTTTGCTCCGTCGCGCAAATCGTTTGTTTCCGCCAAGAAGACACACACGCTTGCTACCTGTCGACTCACCTGCATTTGCCCCGTGTATATGCCTTGCCCATCAATACTACTGGTGTTACAGGTGCTGATCGTGCACTATCAGGTATGTCCTGTATATGTTATATATATTATGTATGTGTACATTCTTCTGGCCAGCCAGTTTGCTATAGCTAGTTTGCAGCTAAGAGCAGATAGGTCCTCGTTGTCGCTTGCAAGCACATGGCATGCGCTTCATATCGGTCCTTGTCTTCATCTGGCCTCTACCTGCTCATATGGCTTCGGCTCGTATGGGCCCATGTAGTAGCTGGCGGCTGAAAATGCCTCTATAGGTGCTGGCGGAACGCCTTAGCGCGTATTTATTCACACATACACATACACACAACTACCGCTGTGTGACCCTTGCTGACAAGGCATCCGGAGGTACAGACTCTGTGTCGAACAGAAGGGACCAGTGGCCCCTCACGCCCCTCCCCTTAAGGGAATATGCTTCGTCCGTCATGGACCAACGGTTGGGGCTGGGCAGCGCAGCCCGTGGCCAGCGGCAAGATTGTGATAATACACACATATCGTGTGCCATACTATCTACAGCTACTACAGCGCGTTACACCTTTGGAGAGCAATGCAACTCAAGGTGTAAGACGCACGCACATATTGGCATGCAGACATCGATGGCTCATATGTATTTTGCGTCTGCACGCACGCTCCTTAGGATAGCAACAGATCAGAAGCAGGAAACCACCAGATGCACCAGATGCACCAAGGGCTATCCAGCAGGTGCTGTGGATAGCGCTACCCACAGCAGCACTACTGCTAGCACTACTCCACTAGTACTGCTAGCCTGCCTGTTGCTTACCACATGAATGGGTGTAAATGTTTGCCAGGCAATCTATATCCATTATCGTACATGCTTCATGCTATATATGCGTGACGACTTGTTTGCCCAACTTGCTTTCCCAAACGATAAGCCTTACCAGCCAAGCGATGATGACCCAAGTGCTTGCGTGCTTGTCTCCAGGCGTGTTCATTTGCCACGCGTGAACAAGTAATGAAATCTATAAGCAACCCTGCTTGATGAGCAAGTCGTAAATTTTCGCTGGTATTCATACTCTTGTATCAAATCGTGGTTCCATGTTTGTGAGCGGGCAGACGGATAGCACCGGCCGGCAACTATCTATAGCATACCGCATAAGGACTGTGTAGCAGCTGACCGCTGAAAAGGTCTCTCGAGTTGCTGGTGGTCGCGCTCTGCGCGCATTTATAGCGCCGTACTGTGTCCCGGCTGCTACAGACTGTTACGCACGCATAATAGCCTTCCGGGTGGATTGATTACCCTGCCTGAATACAGTGATTACGTTTCCCAGGGTGTTACAGTAGGTCAGCCACGGTTTTTTCCCTTGTTTGCTTTTGTCTTCGCAGTTCTTCCTTATTGTGACCCGCATCAATATTAACTGGCCAAACTCGATTGTCGGACTCCAAGCTGTGGTGGGTAGCATCACCGGCAGCGTCAAGCAAGTGTACTCGCCAAGCTGTCTCTGGCCCGGTGCTGACTCAGCCACCCAGGCGACGATCCAGGTGCTAGCTGGCCTTCTTATGCCCATCTTTTCCGTCATCATGGTCATGTTCCTTTGGACCCTGAGGTGAGGGCAAGGCAAAAAGATAGGTACATGCACAGGTAGATATATATCATGTTCCAAAACCGCTGCGTGCGTGCTTGCTGCCGCAGGCATTGCGCGTAATTATCCTACCGCGATGGACCAAGAGGCTCAAACAAAAACTGGCTGAGTGATAAACACCACGTTTGTGCAATAGCCTGATGCAAAGCGCGCGAAAGCTGCCCCCCCACCGAGACACAATGAAACAGATTACGCAGGAATGTAAGAAAACATATACACACATGAACAGATAGCCTGCTAGTAGTACACTGTAGATGCTGTAGATGCTGTAGATTATTCTGGCAGAATAATCTAATAACCAACCACGACTATGCCTTTCGTGTTTAGTTTTAAGCAGCAGCTCAGAAGCTGACACAGCCTGCATGACACGCATTAAAACTTTATATGGGTGCATGTGTATATACGCAGCTTTTTGTGACCTTGCGTGTGTAACAAATTATACATGCGTGCATGCACGCACATCGTTCTGCAGAAGTGCATGGGACTCCTCTACAGCAGCCTCGCCAAGAAACGGCCCATGGAAGCCACCGTCTTTCAAATATTTTATCATCTACAGATCATACCCTGGTATAATAGAAAGGGACGTTAAATTCATATCGAAATACGAGGGCGCAATCTATAGGCGACCAAACATTTCACGGATGGCGGGCCCCACCACCTCGCGCGCGTGTGCAAAGCGAATTTATGCTGGCCATACGTGTGTACATATATGTGTATGTGCATGTTTATTTGTATGTTCGTGTGCTGCAGGTACATGTATTGGAATCAAAAAGGTTTGTACACACCTCGCTCCAGCAGCCTGCCTCGCACTCAGTCTCAGGCTCTCTCCGGCTTCTCCGGCAGGCCCTCCGGTGTGGGACCCTCCAGCTTGCCTGATGCCCCCAGCTGTCTAACGCTTGCAGCTTCCTTGCCTACATACGGTAGCGGCAACGGCCCCATTGTGAGGGCTTCTATGTCAAGGCGTGGCAGCTCTGCTTATCTGCGCCCCAACGCTTCTGTGGTGCCGGGCCGTAGCCCACCAGAGGCAGGCTCATTGCCACGAGCTGACACCACCACGAGCTGCGGTGTGTCATCGGTTGGAACGTTGAGATACATCAGTAGCTTCGGATCATTGTCGCCACTGGCAGCCGCGGCCATCGTGGCCAGGGTTGATACAACGTCGCCTATGGTCGGCATCATGTTGAACGATGATGATACACGTGAGGTGGAGGATGCTTGCGCTGCTCCAGAAGCTGCTGGAAACAACTCATCAGATGGCACAAGGAGCCAGCCCGCTTCTGCAGAGCTCCAAGACGGCACTGCTGCAAAAAACCCGGCCACTGCTACCGTTGCCCCGGCCGCGGCTCCGAAGACCTTCCTGAATGCTCCTGCTGCTACTTTTGCCAGCGCTTTGGCTGCAAGCCCTGGGGGTGCCACTGCTTCGCCGCCTCCCAGTGTCTTTGCATTGGCGCAAATCCGCTCCATGCAATCTGGCTCCACTATCACCGGCAGCAAGAACGCGATGAACACCTTCCCTAAGATTCCTGAACTCAGCAGCTGCGCGTCGGGTAATGCTAGTGCGACTTATGATGACGTCAGCAATACCCAACAGATGCAGCAGTCCGCGTCGGTGCCAGCGAGCACTGCTGGCGTCGGCAGTAACCTAGTTACTCCTAGAAACAGCGCAGGTGCCACCATCGGCCGGGACCGCTCGTCCATGTATCGCAGCCGGCGGCTGGGTTCCATCAACGCGCTGCCGGCGACGGTCAACCCGCCACTGGGCATTGTTGCCCCATCTGATGGCAACACAGAAAACGCCACCCCACCGGCCCCAGACACAGCGGCCGATGAAGGCACCGGTGGGGATGGATCGTCGGGGCTCTTCAGATTGTTCTCCAAGCGCGAGTCGCTATCGTTTGTGGATGCCCACATGTCCCTCATGTCACAGATGTTCCTGGTGCTAATGGTGCGTTAGCTGTGGTTCCGTCCTTTCTTGACGACCCAATGCCACCCAATGCCACCCAACCCGATGCCACCCAACCAATGCCACCTGATTTGGGGAGGCCTGGCTGGGGAATAGTTGACCCGCGTCCGGCACTTGTTTTGGGGACCAGCGTACATCACGTTTATATTCACGAAGCTGCATGCCCCACGATCAGCGGTTGGTGATGCCGATTTACTACGGGAAGACGGAAATGTAGCTAGCTAGCTGGGTAGGTAGATAGATAGATAGATAGATTGATAGCTAAGGGCATCCAACCGGCGCGCTTTGGGTAGATGCCGCTCGCTGACCTTACTCATTGCTGTTTGTACCTCTTTCTGTTCGATGTCGCCATTCGCGTGCAAGCATATGATGAAATGAGCAAGCGAGGTAATGGCTCGTACCCCCTGACCACCCGTTTATTATCCCCTATAGCGAGCGATCCTTGGGAGGTCGCTACCGCGCGTGCGTCTCTTCGCTCTCACAAGCCCGCGCATATCTGCATGTGCGCGCCCACCTTGTGTCTTGACAGGTGTGTCAACCTTACAGGTGTGTCAACCTTACCTGACATCTGTAAAAGGACGAGACCGAACGGCGGCAGCCCGCTCATCAACTGATGTTGCTACTGCTTTGCTGGACGTCACTGCATAACCCCCTCACCGCATACTCCAAAACACTCCTACCCTCCCGGCCTGCTTGTAATGTAATGTAATGTAATGTAACGTTACAGAGTGGGAGGCTTCCGGGCCTGCTTGATGTGCTTGATGTGCAGGTGACCTCATTCGTGCTGATGCCGACCTGGGCCACAGAGGCGCTGTCCATCTTCTCCTGCTACAAGTTGGATGACGGCTCCGGAGAGTACGCACAGAACCAGCGGGTATGTTTCTTGCATGCGCGTATATATGTGCAGAAGTGCACGGACCTATTATACTTTTAAGCTGAAAAACGTTGTCTTGCTTTGAAGTCGCTGAATCGGCGTTGCTGGCATTGAAAAAGATATAAAAAAGATGTTGTGGTGCTGGCCTACACAGCCATATGGACATATGCCTTCATACTAGTACTGCATCATTGGCTATAGCTAATTACCATCTTTTGGCATACATGTAACATATGTGTGTGTAGCATCATAACACGGATGAAGCGCTTGTCCTAGGACTTCCTAGGACCTTACATCATCACTCACGGGTGCTGTTGCATAATTGAGATAGGATGCATGGGTAGATTGAATGGTCAATTGCTCCAGCTCCATGCCCCGGCCTGCCACAATGCATTTGCGTATATGTGCCTGTCTGCGTATAGGTTCCGCTGTACCCGATCGCTGTGCACCTTGATCAGTAGGCCGTCCTTCATAGCTTGGCGCCTTAAAAGCTGTTGCTTAATTTGTTCCCGTATTTTCACATATCCAGCATCCTTCGTTCGCAGCCGTATAGTTATGCCATATGCTATACTGCTATATTTATTAGTTGTTCCTGCCGTTCTAGTCAGCCGCTTTGGCAGCACACGTGTACTGATTCGCAGCGAGCAAGTACGGTGTTGTATCGCCTGCAGGGCGTATCATCATCATCGTCATCACGGGATCCGACACCCGCCGATCGTTACTTTTACTCTGTGTAGTCGTGATACAACATACGGCCACTCAGCGGCCTGATGAGTCGACGAACCGCGGCTCTCAGCACTGACACAGCCCATGAATACTGTGGCTGCAAATGTGCAGGCTAGGTGGCGCTATGGGTACTGGATGAGAGACATGAACCAGGAGTGCTATACCGGCCGGCATCTGCTCGTGTAAGCAATATTATTACAGCTTACCGCTACCTAAGTATTTGGCTGGTTATTTGACTTTGCACTTGGCCAGGCCTAATACCGCCGAGAAAGCTGCCCTAGGGCAGCGCTGCCCTGCTGCTTGTCTTTGTCCTTCGCACCTGATTGCATTGGCGAGCTGCAGGCATCGTTATCCATGAGCTCGGTTCCTGAACTTATTGATGCCCACCTAACCCGGCTCGCTGACCCGTGTGTCATGCAACTTGCTTGCAGCTGGGTGCCCATCGGCGTCATCGCCGTGGTGGTGCTGTGCCTTGCAATGCCCATCGCCTGTGCCGCTCTCACGTACCAACATCGGAAGCGCCTGGACGACGTGGAGATTGTGCAGGTGTACGGCTTCCTTTATCGTTCGTACAAGTAAGCTTATGAGATGCAAAAGTATGATGTGTGGAACAGGGGGGTATATCTTCACCCGTTGCAGCTACCCTGCGAAACCCTGCCTTCCCCGGTATATCGGGGGACCCTCATATAGTCACCCTAGTCGACTCCTCAGTGGATCACTCAGGTTCCGCACCCACCACCGGCATCCAACGGAATCTGCCGGGTCGACGGCGGCTCAACTCCATTCCTGGTCAGCTCGCAAGATCACTTTATCCCAGGTCACCACCGTCCATCGACTAGGGGCACTATACCCTCCGGTACATATACAGGTCTCAATCCCGGGATCTCCCGGGGGCAACAATCGTGCCTTACCAGTAGTGCCCAACCTAGTATAAAGTGATGTATGCAATATGTGCGGCCGTACGTGGAGACGGTACAGATATATACCATATGTTCAATGCATGTCTATAAAATATAAATATAATATATGTTTTAAATATAGTTACCATCGCTGATGCGGCTGTACGCGACCGTAGACAAGCAGATGTCTGTCGCGCACGCACGGTTAGTAAGTAGCCAGCACGTGCTACGCCTCAGAAACGGGACGCTTAACTAATATCATGATTATGACCTTGTCTATAGAACATTAAAAAATTCAGACGAGCGATTGAAGTAACCCCACCGCCGATCGTCTCCAGCAGCCTGCTATCATTAAGGCGTGCATACCGCAATATGCTCGACTACCGTCCGTCTGCGGGTGTATATATGTATGCACGTATCGATGCTCCCTATGACCGGATCCGTGTATGCATGCAGGCCGAAATATTTTTTTTGGGAGAGCATGACTCAGGCACAGACACTACTGTTGGTGGTGGTTGAGGTATTCGGCCGCACCCTGTGGGTGCTTCATCAGGCGCTTGTCATTGAGGTGAGTGGGCAGCAGCAAGGTTCTGGCGCTCCG